GAGAGAGAGAGAGAGAGAGAGAGAGAGAGAGAGAGAGAGAGAGAGAGAGAGAGAGAGAGAGAGTGAGTATAGTTTGATAGTCTATGTTTTGTATTAGACTAGGGTTGAGGGAATTTGTGTGATCTTTGGTGTTTTCCTTGTTCGCCATTTGGGTAATAGTTGTCGTAATTTGTTGCGATTTTTGTGTAGCGATTCTGCATGCGATGAAATGAGAGAGAGAGAGTGCCGCTCTGTAGAAACGCCATTTTGGTGGGTGGTGGGGTTTCCTTGTGAGAAGGTGCAGATTAGTGGAAGTGGTTTTCCCTAAATCGCGAGGAGGTGGCTGGGTTTGCGGGGTCTTTGACGCCTGCCGTGCGGGAGGGCCCCACCTAATGCAGTGGTACCCTCGATGTGTTCGGCCGGTGCATCGGTGATGCCTTGCCCGCTGAGGGCCCCACCTAATTTTGTGAGGGACGCCGGGCCCGGTTCCCGACGTTATAAAAAAAAAAAAAAAAAAAAAAAAAAAAGTTACAGCAGACAAAAAGTTGTTCAGTTTCCGCCCATTGGTACAGGCTCAGCAGACTCCTCTGCTCCCTCAGTTGCCAGATCTCACACCTGTTCGCGGTTTTTTTTTATATTTTTATGAATTTATATTCTTCTCTCAATCTATTTCATCTTTCTTGGTAGTACACATCTATCTCATCCTCTCACAAGTCTATTTATAGTACGGGGGAACACCAACCAACCCGGATCCCTCCCCAGCCCACGGGGTGATTATTGATCTCACACCTGTTTGCATTTTGGATTATACTCACCAGATGCGTCCATTTGCCCTGGCCGTATCCTCGTATCAGCTGCCTTTGGATCCCAGGTACTGGGGCTGGATACCCCAGACACGGCAGCAGAAGATTATCCCGCTGTATTGTTACACGGCGAAGCTTGGGTATCACCTCACCCACCAGACGGGGTGGATGTGAATTGTGTAGTGGCTAAAAGATGGATGTCTACAGGATGGATTCAGGATTCTCTCCCTAGGCTCTCACAAAGTTTTTCGGGCTACTGGAAATTGCTAATGGATCTCTGCCTGTGGTTAAGCAGGCAAGTTTCCTTTGGTTGATGGCCCACCTGGCCGTTCCCACAGCGCCATGGTGTGCAAGACGAACAGTCAAGGCCACTGCACTCTGCCTCCTGTGCTCTGGGATAAGGATAGAGGATCTGCAGCAACGCATGTGTTTACATTGCAGTGTGAACTCTCTAGGCAACTGTGGGATTGGTGGAGAGATCGGGAACAACACCGACCCCTCATCATAATACTAGATGGGGAGATGAGTATGTGTTGCTTGGGGCTGTGGCTAGAAGACAAAATAGGAACGGACCCCCCTGACATACCCTGAGGAAAGCCTGAGAGGAGCTATCCTTTGGACTTTGTGGACACTGCGGAACTCCGCAGTTAAGAGGGGGGAGTAACTGGCCTCTACAACAACCTGGACTTCTATTAAAAAAAAAAAAAAAAAAAAGGAGGGGAGAAAGACTGACCCCGCCCATGATTCGTGCAGAAGTAAAATTATCCATCAAACAGATGGTAGCCACAGAATGGTCCATGAGAGTGCAAAACAAGGGAGATGCGTCGAAACCTTTGCGAAAGTTTCTACAACACTGGGAAGGATTTCCGGACCTGCTTCGAGTCCAGGATCGACAACAAGAACCGCCAAGAGATGAGAATATTTTCATCTTTCTTTCTTCGACTGCACTGCTACAATTCTTTTTTTGGATCTTCTTCCTTTCCTTTTTTTTTTTTTTTTTTTTTTTTTTTTTTTTTTTCCTGCTTCTTTGGCGTAGTACAGGCAGAGCAGGTAGTACAGGCAGTACAGGGGCAGTACAGGCAGTACAGGGAGAGTGTGCAGTTTGTAGGTTCATAACTTTGTGATGTTGTAGGATTGTTGTAGGTTTGTTGGTTTGTTGTAGGTTTGTGTTACCTTTCAAAATATATATATATATGACAGACCTTTCTTTGTTTCGTGGGTGTTTTGCTGGCTTGTGATGGGGTGTGAACCGACAGTCTGTAGAGTTTTCCATCTGGTGTGGGTGAGTGATAGTCTACTTTGATTTTGGTTGAGGTAGATTATCATTTACAGTGTAATCAGTGGTTTCTGCAGACTGTTGAGGGTTCAGCCTCCTGATGAGTCGGTGAAACTCCGACGAAACAGTTTGTCACAGCCCCTCGTTTGTTGTCCTCTTCTCCTTCTCCCTCTCTGCCTACGGTTTACCGGGCAGTTCTATTTGACGACTGCCTGGTAAACCGTAGGCAGAGAGGGAGAAGGAGAAGAGGACAACAAACGAGGGGCTGTGACAAACTGTTTCGTCGGAGTTTCACCGACTCATCAGGAGGCTGAACCCTCAACAGTCTGCAGAATCCCCTCACTGATTACACTGTAAATGATAATCTACCTCAACCAAAATCAAAGTAGACTATCACTCACCCACACCAGATGGAAAACTCTACAGACTGTCGGTTCACAACCCATCACAAGCAACAACCAAGCAAAACACCCACGAAACAAAGAAAGGTCTGTCACAGCCAAAAAATACACTCCAGACAAAAAAAGGTTTGTGTTACCTTTGAAGTTTGAACTACTAGATGGAAATGGGAGGTGGTATAAACAAAGGAGTGAAGCAGTGTGCATGGGGGAGATGGGGCATAGGAGATTGCCGGGTACATCACACTAGGTGGACCCTCTGACCTGGGCCGACGATGCCTACTTCAGAGGTCTCACCTTTCTCTTTCGTGAGGGACACCGGGCCCGGTTCTCGGCTTTGTAAAATAAATAACTGTTTCGTCAAAAAAAAAAAAAAAAAAAAA